TGAGACAATATTTCTGTCTTAATGTATTTCTGCTTCTAGAGATGGGTTTGGGCTCCAAGGAATATTAACCAGTAAATCAATTTTCAAATATTTTCAGAATATGGGTCATTTGTGAACTGAGATATGGTATAATTTCTGACATACCTTGCCTTGGAAAATCTATCTATTGCATCCTCAACTTTAAAACCCAATTGTTCCACTAAGAATGCCACTATTAAAAATCCTGTCCTATTGTAACCATGCGTACAATGCACAGCTATTGATTCACAAGGATTATGGACAATAAAGTTATGGGCAATGTCTATGAATTCTTTAACATGTCTTCTTGATGGTGCTATACCATGTCCTTCACAACACAATTTTACATATTGGCAGTTTTGATCCTCTACTGACTTCTTTGAGTAGTATCTTGTAGTATTTGTCAAATCTATCCATAGTCCAATCTTCACCTGGAAATTCAAAGGAAGTATTATTGGTACCCATCAAATCAAAGCTTGGATAAAATGATACAAAGTAATAAAGAGATGACTGCGCACTGGCTGATTGATAGCAGGCCCTGATAAGAGGTAGCAAAAAATGCATATTGGGGACAACTAGCAACTTTCAAAGTCATGAAAAACATCTTACATATAGGAGTTTCACTGGGTGGAGAACCAAAATTTAACATTTTTTAAAGGAAAAAAAAAAACCACAGGATATTAGGACTTGGACAGCAGATACTATTTCCTGCAATTTTATTGCAACAAATAGCATTAGCATGGCTACTGTATTTCCAATGGGAAGGCATTTTCAATTAGCAATCTATTTATTGTTTCACCATTATTGTGGTGTTTCACCTAATATTATTCTTTCACTTTGCAGTACTTACTTTATTATGGGCAGCTCTTTTGAAAATTTCTTCAGGTGGATACCTTGCCTGTACTGGAAATTTAGCATTATATTTTTCTAGTGGTGTTTTTAAAGCCATGAACTTTCCCTCTACAAGGTATTCACCGTTCGCTGGACAATCAAGCCAACCATCTGGGATTTTATTTTTCATTATCACACGGTAGTAGCAATAAGTAGGGCACAGAAGACCAGTGATTATAAATGGCTATGCATGTTTTTCATGTAAATAAATATCTATTTATCTATACTTGAAATTTTTTATAAACAAAAATCAAAATAAAAAATTGTAACCCCACTTTCATCTGATACCTGATAGATCACGTGATCAATCACCGATTCACATCCAAGGTTGCCAGACACCAGCGTTGCCACAACGAGGCCAAATTAGTGGCCTGTACTACATCGTATTACTGGCAAACCGCGAAAGCCTAGATTATTGATACTGTGGAGTATCCTAATCACCATAACCGTGTTGGACCTGGGAGATTATTTTATCTATGACAAATGCCAACCGAAGACTCAACGATGTGTGAGAATTCAAAACTTGAAACAAAAAGTAAAGTAGGTATTTTTAATTCTTCATCCCACCATTTCTACACTTCCCTATATAAAGATATTGAACGTTATTCCTGTAGCTTGTCAAAAACCGTGAAAGGACCTATATACAGAGAAATCCATATACCAGTGACGTCGTAATGTGTACTGAGAGAAGCGCAGGAAGCTTGCATTACGTATGTTAGAGAGAGATAGTCGCAACACGTTGCCTAGCAACCCGAGTGACGAGGAGGACGCAGCTGCTGCTTGACGCGCTCTTTGTAACAGACGTACGAGGGTGGTCCCAGAAGTACCCGACCCAACGAAGAAAACAAAAATTTTGTAAAAAAAAGGTTTTATTTTTCAACATAATCTCCTTTGAGCTCTATACACTTTTCCCAGCGATGTTCAATGAGTTCGATACCCTTTTTTGTAATAAGAACTGTCTTGCTCCTCAAAATAGCCATTAACTGCCGACATCACTTCATCGTTGGAAAATATTTGACCAATGAGCCATTTTTTCAAGTTTGGAAACAGAAAATAATCCGAGGGGGCTAAATCTGGTGAATAGGGTGCTTGAGGTAGCAATTCAAACTTTAATTCGTTAATTTTGGCCATTGCAATAACGGATTTGTGAGTTGCATTGTCTTGATGAAACAACACTTTCTTCTTAACCAAATGCGGCCGTTTTTGCTTGGTTTCATCGCTCAAACGTTGCAATAACTTCGCATAATACTCGCAGTTGATAGTTTTGCAAGATAGTCAATGAAAATTGTCCCACGTGCATCCCAAAAAACCGACGCCATAACCTTGCCTGCAGATTGAACGGTCTTCTCCTTCTTTGGAGTCGGTTGTCTCTTTTTTGTTGTTTCATCCATGGTTATGAAACGACGCAAAGATTCTGCTTTGTTGCTGTAAAACTTCGATAATCACTCAATTGAAACATCTTCACGACAATGTTTTTGCTCGATTGTGAGCAATCGCGGCACCCACCTTGCACACAGCTTTCTCATGGCCAAATATGCGATGAACCGCACTTTTTTAAAGGTCTATTACATCTGCTAGCTCGCGCACTTTCAGTCGACGATCATTCATAAACGCTTTGTGAATTTTCTTCACCATTTCTGGAGTCGTCACCTCATTTGGTCGACCATGCGATGCTCGTCTTGGCAGCTCATACGACCTCGTTTAAACTCTGCTACCCAATATTTTACTGTTGTAAACGAAGGAGCAGACTCACCCAGAGTAGAATCCAGCTCAGCTTTTATATTGGTTGGTCCTTTGAAATAAAAGTATTGTACCACATAACGATGACCAATTTTCTCCATTTTCACAAATACTAAACAACGTGGCGACTTCAAACTTGACACATATGCTTTATAGGTTGCATACTTTCTAATACAATGATATTTATCAAACAACTATCGCCATCTCTAGGTCAGGCCGGGTAGTTCTGGGACCACCCTCGTATTGCAGGCTTTTCTCTCGTACAGATTGCGTGTTCAGCCAAATTTGAACTTCACCGTATGGATTTCAATGTATAGAACTCGAGTTCCTCAGGACGTTTAGGATAAGCGTAAGCCTATGGGACCTGGACGAGGGGGTTTGCGTTGTTTGTTGTTTTTGATGCAAAACAAATTTAGTAGGTAGCAATTGACGAGCGGAGGGGAGGGTGGTTAATAGACCAAAAAATTTAGGAACGTATGTCCGAAATCTGTATCTCTTGCAAAATGAAAATAAACCGGGTGTCAACGAAACCGTTTTACAAGGCACTATTCAATTGCTGTTTAAAGAAGAACCTTGAAATTTTGTGTGAAGATATGACATAAAAACTCAGATGATCCATTAAAAAAACAACCGAATATCGCTTCCGGTTTGACCGGAAGTGAGTATGAAACAAGAATTTATATTTCTATAATAGCATCTAGCATCACATTGTATTAATACTGAATTATTATGATGTTCATTACCCCTGATGGTATTATTCTGATTAGAATAATGTGAATGATTCGGAGCTCGGATGTCGATTTCGGAATACGACTGAATCTGGGGAGTAGCTCCGGCTGATGGAGGAGCCACCCTCAGACCAAAGCAATCACATTGCACAATACCTTTACCTGTCTGGCGGGAGAGGGTGGTGCTGGAGGTTGTAGGTCTCCTATGACCTTTGTCTCGCAGCGCTTTCCTCGTGTCGACTTTCTTGTGCCTATCTTCCCCGTGACTCTCGGCTGGGTTTCACGTCTGCAGGTCGATATCTAAGTTGCGTACAGGGCTTACGTTTGGCAAGAGATTAAAATCGCTCGGTGCACCCTTCCGTGCGGTGATCTATTTCCTTTATGGTTGGATGTGTGGGTAATAACTGCTTTTCTTCTTTTTTCGAAATAGAAATGGTTACCCCACAACTCACAAGAGGTTTCGGTGCACGAGGTCCGTATGGCCCGAATTTACGATTATTTACACTATATACAAAACTGTGAGATGGGTGATTCCCAAAACCCATCAATGTGGAGATTACAGTGGCTCACAGCCCTCCAGGTTCCCTTTGATCGCCGGTGTCGACAGGAATGTTGTCGGGAAGGAGCTGCTTGTATGGTTCCAAACAGCCTACTGTTCCCCATCCACTGTGTAAGACAATCAGACGATATAATGAAATTAGGTAGAATTGAAGATCTAGTTGTTGTATAACTATCTCTGGAGGAATTTTCCCTCTAGCTGTTAGTGAGTTAGAGGTAACAAACACACAACTGAACGGCGCTCCAGCTACACTCCGAGGGATCTTCGAGATTGGAAGCCAAATTAAAGCTTTTGAATTGTGCATTTACTACATTTTACATTTGTTTTCTTACCGTAATTGTCTTGATTTATTTTAAGAATAATACTGTGAATAAATAATTATATGCCACATAGACTGGGAGAAACTTTACGTATTATTTATTGTAATTCTGATTAAACATTTGATATCAAGTACTGTTGCATTAAAATGTTGAATCAAAAATGTCCATTGCCAAAGTAACTACATACTGCATTACTTTGAATATTGCATTTCTTTCGCCGGAGCCAATCTCCTTCACACTAATGCAAATCGAATAAATTATATACTTTGCACTACTTAAACGCGGGCGTAGCCGCGGGTTTGGGCTAGTATATTAGGAACTGAAATACTGCCATGCACCCCATTAGTAGATGCTTCTCTACACATCTATATCAAACTACTATTTTGATTTAACTATCACTACGGTAGCCAATGGTAATCGAAGATGATTTTTGCAAGTAGGTGACTGATTCATTTTCATTAACATTGGAGGAATGAATCGCTACAAGCTACACATGTATCACTTGTTCTTCGAGGGTGTAGGTACCATTTTAGAACAGTATTCTACATGTACGCGAATGCTATGAAACACAGTACATACTGAACGTGTAGCATTCGCCTGACATCTCAGTTTTATTTACTCAAATTAATCATACTGGGATCAGAAGTACAGCTAATAATTATTTCAGAATTGTGCAAAGATTGAACGGCGAAATATATCTCATATATATAAAAATGTCTTCAAGAGAAATATTTTTATTAAAAAATCCATCAATACAGTTTTCATAGAAAATATCACTTCTGCTTCCTTAAATATAATCACAAGACAAAAAATGCAAAAACTACATTTTCCATGCTCAAAATGTCTCGAACTGACAATAAGATAGAGGCTGTTAGAGACATAGAATTTTTAAACTTACATGTGTAATTTCCAAACCCAAACATCAATAATAAAATAAATTATGAATTAAAACAAACATGAGCAAAAATATACGCGTGATGAAATAGGATATTCAGAAAAAAACAGAAGTGCAGAACAATGGTTTTTTTTCTGTAGACTATTATTAAGGCAGTAACATCGGTAACAGCCTACAATCACCTCCAAAATCTTAACATTATGGAGTATGAGTGTATTTTTCCAATTGAAGAAAGAATGCCAAAACTAACTAAAAGCAATGCGAATGTAGGAAAAATAGTTTGTTCTGCATTCCTAGCTATCTTATTTTCTGAACAATCCGTAATTGTTGTAAGGAAATAACTTCTCTCATACGATGAATCGCTGTACGTGCCACTTCGACATCGTACCACGTATCTTAAAGAATAAATGACGTTATACACCTTTGTAATGGCAGAAAGTACAACTCATACCTTTGGGGGCAAGAGATAAGACGGTATGGTGATGTTGCAAGTAATGTCACTGCAATAATGATACGCAAACAGAACTACAACAGGTTTTAAAAAAAAATTCGTTGTAAAAGTAGATAAGTCGTTTATCATTGCTACTATGCACATAATATTAATATGAACTTAGATATTTGTTTAGATAGCCTATGGTGCAAGATAGGTACATTTGGGCTGATGCTACGGTATCTGATTTTATCTCCGATAATTTTTTGGACGCGGGGATATAGCATTAGGTTGTGTATCTTCAGATAGACGTTAATCAAAGGTTATATTCAGTTCCAAAGGAATTGCTATTTCCTTCTCTTTGACCAATTTTCTATTTAACACCAACAAAAGTATATATAAACTTTTTTCAATGGATGAATTTCAGTAGATTCCAGATTTACTTAAATAACAAAACAAGCTTAATTACTAAAAACTGAGTGCTGTAGCCTGACAAGTTTCTGACTTCGCAGTTAGTCGAACAATGGAACATTTGAGAAATAGTTTACCGAATAATTCATTACAATAACCCCTTCCTGTGACCGTAAATTATTGATATAGGTATAATATTGTTCATATCCTCTTTCAATTTTTGACGAAATTTAATGTATTAACAATTTTAAAAAGACGATTATATGGTTATATCATATATATTGAATCCATAGGCATCTGAAACTAATAATGATTCATATAAATAGGAATACCTCTATAGACACTCACAGTATGGAAGATATTGTCTGCCCTCATACCGCTGTCCGTGAAAATTCCGTGTTGTTGTGGTGTGGAAATTGAAACAATGACGGATACAAGGAAAACGCATTACAGTGATGAACCTGAACCACACCCAGTGATTAAATTTCTAAAAAGTGATCAATTTCTGGAAATAATTGACGGCATAGTGGCAACCAATATAGAGGCACTAAATGAGATAGTAATTATTACAGCCACGGGAAATCAACTGATGCTCCTTACAGAAGTTACCGAAAACATGGATAACAGAAAAAAGGTGAAGTAGGGAAAGCAACTTTGATTAAACCAGCGTGAACACAGGTGCAAAAAGCAGAAACTATAAATCTGATATCCGCTGAATTTGACGATTCTGATGGCTCCTCTATGCAATTTGAGTCGAAAAACAATTTTAATAGGAACTAAAGACAAAAAGTTAGAAATGGACGAAATTAGCAAAAAACATGTGTTTGGTACAGGAGAAAGTGTAACTCACATTACAGCTATAGCACGGAAACCAGGGGTGAATATTGGCAGACTTAGCCCAGGAACAGGTTGAAGATGTAAAAGACCAAGACAATTAGCCCAAGGGTTTTTTTCAAGCGAGTCGGTTAGTATCTTTTGGAGAGATCTACCGCTAACGACATGGTGACGAGCAATGACCACAGGAAAATCTCTCCACTCTGCGACTTCTGCCACTAACTTTGGTGCAAACAATTTTGAAATGAATTCTCAAGTTATTCTGAAAACCTGTATGTCATCGTATAGCTATTTACCTTTTCGAGCCCAACACGGAATATTAAACGATTCTGTTTAGTTAAAAAAGAGAAAGGAAACGCTTAGATTCATTTTTTTTCGAATCTCATTGGACCAATAATCATCGTCAGTCGTATCTTTACAACCGCGCCCCTGACTTGCAGAGATTTCCTCGACACATGTGCGTCATTTGTTTTGAAAAAGTGCAGATTACAAATTGATATTAGCGAATTCAGGACTTCATGTTTCACTGAGCATACACACCACAAATGACAAGATCCAAATAGCCTGATTGGCAAGAAATCAAATAATGTTGAAAACGACCAGCCAATCAATTTGGCTATAAGCATATTTCCAGCTCTCACAAAAGTGGTAGAAGTCGGTGAAGCTTGCAAATATGCTGTACTGATAGTGGGATGTATAAGAATGTTTTGCAAAATCATAAGGATTTTAGTTATTGTAGGAAGCATAACTAACAATTCTTTCAGCTTTGTATAACTATTCGATATAACAGCGAAAAATTGTATTAATTTTGTCCAGGAAATTATATATGTAGGTTTACTTTTCATGTAAATAACATATATTTAGTTTTACAGTTTTATTTTTCCATATAAATGCTATAGAAGTTAATCTCGCATAACAATAAGGACAAAGTCACGGCTCCATGGTATGAATCAGATTTTTCGATATACAGTAGCGACTCGATAATTCGAATTGCTCGACTCTGTAATCCGGATTGTCATGTTTCGCTAGTCCGGATCAGATATTGAGTTCTTAACAAGTTCAATCTTGTTAAATATCACACCATGAACGACGCGACCGGGACGCAAATAAAGCAGAACATTTCCACGGGTCAGTCATTTAACAACAAACGCCAGGGTTCCTACACGAAAACACATAACTTTGTCGATCCAAAAGAAGGCTGAAATTTTAGATAAACTAAAATGAGGTGATAGTGGTAAAATATTAGCTGCAATGTTTGGAGTGGGAAAATCCACCATATCAGATATTAAGAAAAACAGAGGCAAGATAGATGCGTGAGAGTTTAACAATTTTGAAAAAAATGTTTTTATATTTAATGCATTTAATATTTCAGTTTTATGAAGAAATGCATTTCTGGTCCAGGTAGCAAAAAAACTGTGGCTTACATTTTCTGTACTATGGAGCAAGAAAACAATGACCTTAGTAAATCTTTAGAAAACTTCAATCCAAAAGACGCAGTTTGCTTATTACATAATGCATGGATAAAAGTGTCAATAACTGCTTTAGAACAGTGTTGGAAAAAGTTGTTAGTTGAAAACTTAGATTAATGACCCGGAACATTTAATACCATTAAGCTTATAGCGCGTACAAATAAAGCAGCAAATGGAGACTATTGAGAAAATTTCAACAATGCTAGAAAAAACATCTGAACAATTTACAGAAGTGGAAATCTTGGAGTGGGTGGAAGAAACTGAAAAAGATACTCTTCAAGATGAATTTCAAGATGACTATTCTGAAAATTCACTAAGTGACGTAGAAACACCAATTTACTGCTCCAAAAGTTAAACATGGAGAGGCAATTGCGCACTTTACAACAGGGATTAAATGGGGAGAAGACAACAATATTGCACATACCTCAATCCTTGCCTTAAAAGACTTAAGAGAATAAGCTGTTATTATTTGCATTCTGAACATAAAACGCAAACAAAAATAACTGATTTTTTTAATAACTATTTTTTTTTTTACTTTTTTATTTTGTTATTTGCTTATTTTAGCTATGTAGATAATTTATGTTTCAGTATTTATGAAATAAACATCATTGTAATATCAAGAACTTATTTTCCTTATGAGTCCCACTAATCCGGATTTTTCATTAGTCCCGATTGCACCTGGTTTTAAGTGATCCGGATTATCGAGTCGCTATTGTATATATATCCCTTCAGCTTGGCCTCTTCTGTTAAAATCGATTGTGTTGCTATTTAATCAGATTTTACGTGAGAAAGCTTATTTAACCTCAAATGAGATTCGTCAATCACTAGATGTTCTCGATCTCGCATTATTTGTAAGACAGTTGCTAGTTAACACAGTTTATGAGTAGCTAAAGAAAATCATGCTTTTTTGACATTAAATGAGATGAATGACGATATAAGGTAAGCTGTCAATGTAATTGTGACAAGGAACAGAAATGAGCACAATTCATTATTTTCATAACTTCACGTTAACTCTATCATTGAACTAATACGCTGCTATTCTTCAATATAACTATATGATTTTTAACAGTGATGTCATACGTGACAAAGACAAAGGATCTAATAATAACTAAGCACTGCTCTTAAACAAATGTAAAACATTGGGTAAGTTGTTTTTATTATGTATTTGATAAATTTCAACAACTATATGGCATGGTGTTCTATTAACGGATTTTTCAATGAAGGCAGTCAATACGCATACTGGCTTAGAGAAAGGAATATCAGATTTAAGTAACATGAAATCAAGAGAATATTTTACTCGTATCCAACATCTCTCAAGTCACCCGTAAAAAGTGGATATTATTCCTGTTTAAAAAACTATATTATTTAGAAGTATGAAAATGTAATCGAATCGCGGAATTACTATCTACTATTAGCTATACCTTGCAGTTACCCAAAAAATGCTCTTAACAATTAAGATATAAATTATGACATAATACACGAAAAAGCACCTAATACAAAAGCCGAGACTACCATGAATGAAAAATAATTTATTATTGCTATCATCTACTATATTTCTGCACTGACTTCTGTGAATGCAGATTATCATTTTTATGATACCAGGTACAAGCAAGATTTCAATTAAAAACCAAAAAACGCAGTATGTTTCGGTTTTCCATCAAAACATACTAGATTTCAACAAATTAGATTCAAATATAAGACGACAAAATAGCGTCAAAAAATTTAAAACAAAACTGAGAAACTCTATGTTAACATTGCAAAATATGACGATGCACTAATGGTTTGAATTTGTTTTTATTATGTATTACTGCCAATTGTTTATGTAGCAGTTTGTGTTGAATAAATCTTTCTACTATTGCTAGACATATGTAGTAAAATTCAAATAAGGCAGATAAGAGTATATAAACATTGCTTTTATTGAGATTATTTAAAAGAAAACCGGCACGGCAGCGCTTCACGTTAGTATCACATAAAGTGCTGCAGTGCTGTGGTTTCATACACTCACTGTTTTGGGTTAATAGAACGCTGCAACTTCTTTTTTTTTGAATCAGATAGTGAAATAAACATGTCTTACAAATTAAAAATTTTGCTACCAGAAGTCATTTCAAGTTTATCTTCTATTTTGGCCAAAATTGAGACAAGTGACTAACAGACGGCAAGCACCGCCCGCGGTGAGTCCAGGGGTCTCACAAACTTGAACAAGTCAAAAATTATTTTGACAAAGACAGTTTTCTACAATGCTCTTTGAAATGGAGAAATACCGCTTCACGTGTGTATTATGTATATCAAGATCGAATTTACTATTTTCCGGTAACATGATGATAGACAAAATCAAGGTAACTGCAATTTATGGAAAGAGAATACCCCCCTCCCTTCCATGCTACTTCATAAATTAAACTCTACTATCAACATGAAAAGTAGGTTGAATCAACTGAGGTACTTGGATTTTCTAAAAGATTTCAAGCCTGTATAAGAATACAAAATTAAGATATGATTTATAACTGCCTTAATTGAAAACGCCATATCTTTCACATTTTCTTTAAACCTTAACCAAATATTCATTTAAGTGTTGTCTGTCTTACGGCATCCCATGATGTTCTTAAACTCCCTTGATACCGTGCATGGTCAGTAATTCTTTTAGATGTGAAATTTCCTCCTCCTGAAACAATCAATGAACATTGGATTACTATCAAAAATCTCTTATCACCTTTTCTCCAGCCTGCTTGAAATTCCAAACATATTGTATTTTTCACGAGTATCCATTGCGGTAGAATAATAGTAACATTTCAAAATCCACATATTGTCAAATGACATAATTGTTTTGTTTTTTTGTACATTTTGTACTTGCTTACAACTCTCTTATTTAGAAAAAACGCATGTAAAAAACGCTACAAGAATGTTTTACAATCGGTTCATTATTGCTTATCAGCTATACACCTCAGTAGACGTCAAAACGTGATGGATACTCGTGAAATAGGGTTTACTGATTTGGCTGTTTAAGATTTATTTACAATGATTTCGTTCTTCTAAAAAACGAAACAATTACATAACATACAGATATATAAAAAACAAAATTGGCATCTCTAAAAATTTTCACTGTCCATGAAATATCCCTTTAATTTTCTTTTAAACATCTTTAAATTACAAGCAGACTTTATATCATTATTTAGTTTATTAAATTCAAGTAATCCTTTCTGAAATATTGATTAGTTAGTTATATTATTATTGCAATTTTGTAAATGAAAATCTATATTTCCTCTTGTATAATAATTGTGGCAATGATTATTCAATTCTGTGTAGTGTTTTAAATGTTGTGACAGATGATTTTTTTTATTTTAAATATAAAAATAAAAACCAAATATGATACGAAATTTTTTATTCAACCACTGCAATTCTTGTAACATATATTTTACTGTGGTGTACTTATTTTTATTCAATATTATTCTCATAGCTTTATTTTGCAGGACTTATAACATAGTTGAACCATATAGTAAATGCGGTAGAATAATTGTATTATAAAATATTTTCTTGGAATATGTACCAAGACTATGAAAAGCCCTGTAAAATTAATTTGTTTTTTCAGCAATTTTTGAAATAATGCATTCATAGTGATCCTCAAACTTTAGTTTACTATCAATATGTATATACCTAAATATTTAATTGTTTCAACATTTTCAATTATTTCTCCATTTATCCTAACTGTGATAGTATTTTCATTTAAGTATTTCCCTATTACCATACATTATGTTTTAGAAGTATTCAATTTATTTACATTTAACCAATTTATGATTTTGGTCAAGTCAGAATTTAGCATTTTTAAAGCAATATCTACAGTTTCATCTGATATGTATATTAATGTATCATCGGCAAATATCTGAATTTTACAATAATCTAAAATAGTACAAATGTCATTAATGTATAAAATAAATAGTTTAATACCGTGTGTCATACCAACAGAAATATTTTTTGATCTTGATAATGTAGATCCAATTTTGTCAATTAATTAGTTTTAATTTTGAATACAGATCCTTTAAATTAATAATGTGAAGCAAAACGTTTCTCAAGTTGTTGGTGAAACTGAGCCGCAGTTGGCAATGGCCACATGTAGGAATCGCTGAGGGGAGAACCGGGAAAATATTATTATAAAAAAAGCTCCTATATTTCTACATGCTGATAATATAAGCAAGCACGTTATTTAATTGTTGGTTTTATTCAGGAACAAAATCCGGCAGGGGTATTACATATCTTCAAAAAGGGACATTTATGTTATATTTTTTGACATATAGATTTTTGAGACACTATGTAGGTTTTTCTACAAGATGTCAACTTAGAACTAGCTGTTGTTCACTTGATGTGCAAACGTCATTATCCCTTAACGTGCATATAATCTGTGTTGATGATAGTTCCATAGGTTTCTTGTCTCAAAATATTCATCGTGGAAATTACATATACAAATTTGCTGAATTTAAGAAATGACAGAGATAAGAAAAGAAAGTCCCTGGTTGGTGAAGTATATTACAACTAACAGGCGAGACAATATGCTACAGACAGGAGTATTTATGACATGTGAAAAAGTAATTAAATTTCACATTATGTTTTATTTCCAATCATTTAAATTTTATAGAAATTTATTTTGCGATGTCAAGTCAAATCAGCGCCTAGATGTGAGGCACTGCGAAAATGTTTTGTGTGATGCGTCAATCCTTATTGCCTGTACTCAAAAATTGAGGAAAATCGTATTTTATAACTTTGAACTTCTCTTCAGAAAGGGCAACACAAATAACCCGCCTGGTACAGCTAATAGATACTGTACAGAATATTCAGTAATAATTTTCTCACATAGCAAATTTAACTGATTTTTTACACACGGAAACCAATACACACAATCACCACATAATTATCCAGAAGCGATCTTGCTACTCGACCAATTTTCTTTCTATCACATCTCCTCAGATATATTTTCTACAGACTAACTCGGCATTCTGCAACTAACAAAGCATGCTGGAGAACTGGTTATTGAACTTGTCGTTGAGTCATTCCTCCATAGATGACGCTTTTGGTGATGCTCACAGCACTCATGGCGAGCAAACGTGTAACGAACTATTAGCACACTAGGAACTATCTAGTCAGCAAGTTGACATTTTGTCTGTTTTTTTTTTAGTCATTATACATATAGGTTTTTTACGTAATAACCCCGCCGAAGTACCTATCGGGACACCCTTTATCAGATTGCTTTCATTTGCCCAAATAAACTTTATACAAAAGAAAATCGGATGATACAAAAAAAGCACCAACCTTTTCGGCCAACTGCACTTTGAGCTGTTCAATCTCCTGCGTCTCTGTGGATTTGAGCGCGTGCAAAAGACTTGTCGTGTCCGGTCTCAACTCAGGACTTTTCTGGACCAGACTTTGGATCATCTGGGCCATGTCTGGATGGGTGACAAACAGCTTGGAGGGAATATGTCCTTTTCTCAGTTCTGTGATGTATTCGACTCGTTCCATGTCCGTACGAAAGTTCTCTACTAGCTCGAACAGCACGATACCCAAGGAATACATATCACTCTGAAAAAAAAAACATGCAATGTCGCAATATCAAATAACCTACCAATACATAGAATGAATACTGTCTGCGATTATTCGATTGCATAAAGAAAAATAAGTCGTGTTCTGACAGTGTCAATCAAAGTAGTGACAGTACCATGTGTGTGTGTGTGTACACCGTACAGAAATACGCCAACACACACCTCATTCATCGGGGATGCAGATGCAATGCTAATGCTGCAGCTTGATTTTATCGCGAGAGGTGCTCGTCATCCTAACCTCCGAGTTTTTTTAAATGTGCACCGTTTACTGTCATAGTGACAATTTCCAAACAAGAACATGGTGATGGAACAATTTCCTTTCCTTACGAAGACATCATCCTACAAGCAGGCGCCAAGTAGAAGCAAGCACTGGAGGGCCCAGAATTACAGCCTTGCGAAACCCGTGCCACGTACAGCGAGTACAATCTCTACAACCCCAGGATTATCTTCCAAGAGGTGAGTTTTTTCAAACAATGTTACTGAGACACCGGGAAGATCCGCGATTTTTAGAAAAAAAATTATGAATCAACATTTAAAAAATAGGGTACATGAATCTACACAACTTACAGAGACGGACAAATGTTTGGAAACAAATATTAGCATTATCATGAACTATTTCATATACCTAAATTAAAATTGTGAAGGGACAGATAATATAAATATTAAAGTTTACCTTTGTCTCCCGTACTAATTCAAGGTTTATCTTATCAATATACAAATTCTCTGAAATTAAAAACACGCGTTTTTGTAACGACAAAAGTATGGAAACATTTAAGTTTTTGCCGTATTTATTCGTTCTGCGATTCTCACGTAAGTACAAAATTAAAAGGATTTTCAAAAGATTTGAGAGACAAAGTAATTGAATTATTTAGAAGTGGTGTCAGAAATGTTGACATTTCTCAAAGATTAAAAATAAACAAAGGGACAATTTCGAATATTATTAGTAGATATCAAGAATACGGATCAACAGCAACGCGTCCTAGGTGCGGAAGACTGAAAAAAAAAAAAAAAACGATTATGTTTTAAACGTTTGTCCCATGAAGATACTCGGATGCCAGCAGGGGGGGGGAGAATATTTCTGTCAGAACAGTGCAGAGACGCTTAGTGGATTTTGGGCTTTTTGGAAGGCGTCTAGTGCAAAAGCCTCCCATTTCAAAGAAAAAAAATCGTATTGCTAAAACTCATCTAACTTGGACAGAGCAACAATGCAATACAGTTTTATGGGGCGATGAAAGCAAATTTAACTTGTTTGGATCTGACGGTACGGCATATGTGAGACGTTCAATATGAAAAACATTCTTCAAAAAGTATCAGTTGCCAACAGTTAAGCATGATTTGGGGCTGTTTTTCTAGTTTTTATTAGCCGTATTCAATAATATATAAATATAATTTTTTTCTAGTTCTGGAACAGGTCCAATTGTTAAAATTGTTGGGAAAATGGATCAAAAACTTTACAGAGGTATTCTTAGTCAACAAATGCTCCCTTTTGCTGAAGAAGAAATGCCTTTACGATGGACATTCCAGCAAGATAATGACTCCAAGCATACCTCACAATTCGTAAAGGATTGGTTAAGACTAAAAAATGTTAATGCTATTACATGGCCTTCGCAATCCCCGGACCTAAACCCTGTAGAACATCTTTGGGATCCTGTTAAAAGACAACTGACAAAAAAACTTTTAAAAATAGGAACGATTTATTTGATTATGTAAAAAATATTTGGCAAAATATCGCAACAGACGTCTGTAAAAAATTGGTGTCTTTTATGAGCAGCAGATGTCAGACAGCGTTGAATGCTATGCTACCAAATATTAGCTAAATAGTATTTTTTGTAGAGTTATTGTATTCAATTTTGTAATAAAAAAAAAGTTTCCATACTTTTGTCGTCTCATTTTCGGTCATAAAATAATATGAAGGTATTTTAATGCTAGTCTGTAGTACCACAGCAAACACAAATCGTCATTTGTATCATCAAGACTGTAAGCAAACTATATGAGAAAAAAATAGTCTTTAATAATAAAGAATAAAAAAGTGGGCCACTTTTTAAAAATTACTAAGAATGTTTCTAAGCTTTTGTCCGCTACTGTACACGAGTGGCATGTAGAAAATCCACATTTGATAAGACAAGATAGATCACAAAATCATGTTAGAGGGAACATGTGGACCGGGAATTTTAAATGCGAGAATCATTGTACCCTTTGAGCTGCCAGAGTCTTGAATGACTAAATTTATTTTGACTTTTTACAAAATCATTTAAACTTTTTACAACAAATTTCAGTTCAGTTAGAGAATATCTTGATGCGGAATACCCGAGCTTTTGGATAGGGCAGTCTAGTACAATTTCGCAGCCAGTCCGTACACCTAAATCCACAATTTTTTTTACTGGGGTGCGGTGAAAGAAAAAGTTCACGAAAAGCCAATCTAAAATTTAACTGAGCTACGGGACAGAATAACGGAAGCAGGTGAATTTCTTAATAACGGAAGATTCGCCATTTTTAAGATGTCAAGCTTGCATAGTTGCTGAAGGAAGGCAGTTTGAACGTTCATTGTAAAATTTAATAAATACATTCACGAATGTGGCGTTACTATCTATCTTGCTGTCACTACGCAGGAGTGGCAGAATGACACTGTCTGTCACTCCATCTAAGAACAAATTGAAATTTGTAGTAATTGGAACTAAAAGATCATCACAGAGTGTAGATTTTTCGCTGTTCTGTTAAAGCCTATAATTTGAAAAGTACACGATAGATTTTTATATTTTTCTGAAAACTATTATAACTTGATATCTCCCGTTTACACATAATCGCCTTCTAAAATTATATTTTATTCTTGGACACGAAGTGACTATATTGTTTAATGTATTGTATAGTTCACCACCACATAACTTTTGAAAAGCCTTATCGAAAATTATATTCACAAATTTTTGCAGAGAGAAATCAATCATACTAAATAAAATGATTTATTTACCTTAGGATTACATTTGCCTGCAAGCTGTTCAGGTGCAGCATATAATTTGGTTCCAAAAGCTAAACTGTGTCGTACACTTTGCAAAGGACAAGCCAGCCCAAAATCTCCCAACTGGATGACAATACCGTTATTTTCTACTTGAATAAATATATTGCTAGGCTTAATATCGTGATGTACTACGCCCTTTGAATGAATATATTCCAAACCTGAAACAAAGAAAACTCACATTAATATCAATTTAATGTATACTGTTTTCATAACTAACTAAACACTAGGGTACAGAAATTACATCCCTTTCTTAGTAGTAGTAGTAGAAAGATTTATTTAGCACATTTGGCTACATAAAATAAACACACACACAAAATTGTAAACAACTTAGAACTAGTAAATTCAAGCCATATGGTGTATGATGTAAATGCTGGGCAACCTATAATTGTAGATTTAACAAGTGATTTCTCAATTTTACTTTAAATTTTGTCAAAGTTTTCTCGTCTTTTATCTCTGAGTATAATTTATTATATTCAATCAACCCTTGATGGAATACAGATTTGTAGCATATGTTATACTTTTTGGTCATTAAATGGAAGTCATCTTTATTTCTGGTATTATGTAAATGATGGTCGACATTTGATGATGTTAAATTAGTTAGACTTGATGGAAATATATTATTTTTTACTTTATAAATGAATATCATTACAAGATATTTGATAAAAATTTTTACATTGAGCTATTTTAATTTGCTAAGCATTTGCCTAATTGGAGTATATTTATCTTTATTTAGTATTATTCTCATGCACTTATTTTGTAAAATTTGCAGTCTTTCAAAAATGGAATTATTTGCTAAATATAGAATAGTCGAACAGTACAAGAAATTTGGAAGAATGATGGTATTATAGATAATTTTTCTGCTATATGAACTCAGACATCCAGAAACTCTCGATAAATATCCCACTTTACTACTAATCTTATTTATAACTTTTTTATAATGAATATCAAAAATTAATCGATAGTCAACAAAACCCCCAGGTATTTAAAATTTTCTACGAATTCAATATCTTCACCATCAATATTCAGTTGAACATTTGTAAATTGTTTTTTCCGATTAACAAGGCTTTCGTTTTACTTGCATTTAATTTTAGTCTGTTAGATGCTAACCATTTTGAGACAAGCTTCAAGTCTTCATTTATATAAGAGATACCAGACTGAATATTTTTAGTACTTATATAAATCATAGTGTCATCGGCGAAAATCTGAATTTTGCATTTTTGACTATGGCAGGTAAATCATTTATGTATAAAATAAAAAGCAGTGGTCCCAGGATACTGCCCGGTGGAACACCCAACGTATTTTCAATTTTTGATGAAATAGTGTCATTAACTTTTGTAACTTGCATCCTTTTAGACAAATAATTTCTAAACCAATCTAAAACACTTCCTGTTATACCATATGCCTTCAATTTACCTAACAAAATATCTCTATCAATCGTTTCAAATGCCCTCTTCAAATCCAAAAATACTGCTATGACAACTTCTTCTGAGTCTATGGCTCTTCTCCAATTCTCAGTTACCAACTGGAAAGCCGTTTCTGTGGAATATTTTTTTCGAAAGCCTGCTTGCGCCTCCACTAAAATTTTGTTTTCTTCTATAAACTGCATTAATTGGTCATGCACTATGGACTCTAATAATTTTTCAACGTCTGGTAACACATTTACTGGTCTCATATCGCTGCATCTTTTAGAATTTTTTATTTTGGGAACTGGTATTATTGTTAAGCATTTCAAATTTTCAGGAAAACAACTGCTTCTCAGTGAACAATTGATCCAATTTAATACAGGATATCCTAAAATTTCTCTCAGTGAACAATTGATCCTATTTAATACAGGATATCCTAAAATTTCGAAACATGTATTATTGTATCCAAAACGCAATATTTCAAGTACATATTTTGGGTTTTGTAGTACCAAATGATCGATATAACAAATAGGAATAGTACTCACACAAATGATTTGAAGAAAGTTATTTTAAGCGACTGTCCGCAGATCCAACCTTGGGTATGAATTGTTCGTTTGCGAATGACAACAAGAATCTGGAAAATACCCTCCCACAAAAGATTCTATAAATATTTCAATACTTGCGACACCAAACTATATTTAAACTGTAATTTGAAATATTGAGGTTTTTTTACTCCGCAGCAGCAGACGCGCAGGCAGGCACCTAAACGCAAGGGCAGCGCGGCTGCTATGAGGATCCCAAAGAATCCTTGTTAATCCGATTTTTTAACTGTCTAAGGGTGGATTTCACAATTTAACAAACCATTATTCTGCACCAACAGAGTACGAGTACCAAACAGTCCGTTAAATATACCCAATCAGCCTCAAGATCTCTCCGTCAAATTTTTGGCAGCAAATAGCATCAAAGTACTCAAAACAAAACACTGTAAAGTAAGAAGTGACAGTAAAAAAAATAATAAATCAGTCGTATCACTTAATTTACATTTTCCTTAGAATCTCATGAAAGTCTGGAAGGACCGAGAGTCAAATTAGTGAGCTGTAGGAAAGCATCAAGTGGTAGTAACACTATAAAAAGAAAGATTCTACTCACCACTCAAAAGCTGAATCAGGATCTGCCTGACAGCATCACTCCTCAATCCTTGCACCAACGCCTTATCCGGGTCAGTAACCATCGCGTTCCTCTTCTCCAACCATTGTTTCAGCGTAGTCTGGCACAGCGCCATCTGTATGTACAACGTGGCCCATCTGACCTTAGACTTGTTGTTGGTCCTGATCCTCTCGATCTCCTTCAGGTCCAGCTTACACATCGACGCATCACCTTCGCCCTCCGAGAGACTGTGACGTTTCTTGCGCTTGTTGATGGAACGTTGTGATTTTATGGAATTGGCACCACTGATGCTGTGCTCGAAGTCAATCTGGAAATCGGTGCTGGTGTCTTCGTGTTTGTTGAAATAATAGCTGAAGTAAAATAGATTTTTATTTTTTACACAAAAAGGGCGCATCGAAGGAAAACAATCCAAGAGAGATCATTTGTTTTAAATTGAACGAGGAATTCAAAAATAATTTTTATTTGACAAAAAACCATTGGCGTACCATTTGTTCTTAAAAAATATCGAATACCCGTACGCACGCCACTGTTGAAGCTAAAAAATATTTTTGCATCGAAAAATATGCAACTTTATTAACTTTCACTACGTACTAAATCACTGGACAACAAATTTTAGTTTTTTAATTGTATCTTGTGGGAAAAGTGCACTTCTTTGTTAATTTTGGGGCGCTGGATCCAAAAATGACAATGAAATAAAAAAATTAGTTGCGGTTTAGAAAAAAAAACTTTTTATTTTTAAGGATATATTAAAAAAAGTAACAAGATTCATATACTTATAAGAATCACTATATGCGCTGTCTTTTTGCTGTTCTTTTATGGATCGTTTCTGGAGCATCTCTACCAAGAGTCCAACAGTAGTCTGCAAGCATGGAAGGATTCCACTTTCCCTGGTACCTTTTTTCCATTGTTGAAATATCCTGATGAAAACGTTCGCCGTGCTCATCACTTACGGCTCCGCAATTGTCAATAAAAAAGTACAGGTGTGAGTGTAGGAAATGTATCTTAAGAGACATATTACAGCCTATCTTTTGATACGATGACAGCATATTTTTGACAAGGGTTTTATAGTTGTCAGCTTTTCTATTTCCCAAGAAATTAGTGACCACCAGACGGAAATCATTCCAAGCAGTTTTTTCAATACCTGTTAAAGTGTTTTCAAACTGTGTATCTTTCAAAATATTTCGAATCTGTGGCCCAACAAAAATACCTTCTTTAACCTTTGCCTCACTTAGTCTTGGAAATTTGTGACGCAGGTATTGAAAAGCTGACGCATCTCTATCTAATGCCTTGACAAAGTTTTTCATTAGGCCCAACTTGATATGCATTGGTGGTAATAAAATTTTTTTCGAATCTACTAATGGCATATGCTGTACATTTTTTTGACCTGGCTCTAGGAATTGACGAACAGGCCAGTTTTGTCTGGTGTAATGAAGTGCCTTTGCCCGACTGTCCCATTCACAAAAAAACAGCAAAACTTTGTGTAGCCTAGCTGCAGCCCAAGTAAAAGTGCAACAACTTTCAAATCACCACAAATATGCCATTGGTGCTCATCGTATTTTATGCATGTCAACAGGTACTTCATATTGTCATATGATTCTTTCATGTGAACTGCATACCCTACAGGAAGAGATGGTAAAATATTTCCAATATGCAATAACACTGCCTTTAAACTCAATGTTGAACTGTCTATAAACAATCTTCATTCTTCTGGGTTATAGTTTATATTTAAAGCCACCAGTAAGCCGTTAATGTTACTGCAGAAAACCAAGTTATTCTGCATATTGAAAAATGGTTCTAAGTCTTTGTGGCGTTTACGAAAAACACATACCGAAACATCGTCTTCTAACAAGTTCCACTGCTGCAGTCTTGATCCACGTAAATCTGCCTTACATTTTGGAAGTTCTAAATCTCTTACAAGATCATTTAATTCTAACTGTGTTATTTTGTGCGGTTGGTGGCATGACGTGCTCGGTATAAAATCAGGATCTCTTGACGTTGATGGCATATCTTCTTCCTGACGAATCACTCGATCGCCATGATCTGATTCGTTTTCTGATTCGCAAGTGTAGGATTCTGGGGGTTTTGGAATAAGATTTTCGTCACTGTGAGGCACAAGTCTCATCGCAGATGGTATGTTTGGGTAGTTAATAACCGATTTTTTTTTCTTGGACATACCTGTGGCTTGTCCAACACAAGGTACCATGCAAAAGTAACAATCATTAATATGATTTGTAGGCTCTCTCCAAACCATTGGGACAGCAAAGCGCATAGACCGTTTTTTGCCATTTAACCAGCTCCTCAGACTTGAAGCACATGTGTTACAGCAGATGTGGGGTGCCCACTGTTTGTCTTGATCACCTAGTTTACAACCGAAATAAAGCTGATATGCCTTTGTTATTAGTGGAGTAATAGACCGTCTCTGAGACGCAAAAGTCACATCACCACACACGTAACAAAACTGATCTGGATTGTTTACACACGTTCGAGACATCTTGCATGAACGCTGTCAGCCAACTGAGGAAAAAATGGCTAATATAAAACAATATAATGTACACGTATGTATAACGTAACACAATCATGCCGATTACATCATCTTTCCTTGCCGAATATAAAAATATAGCACGTGCATTCTTGTGAATTACAGTATATTAACACTGTCACAGCAGGAACACATATAATTACCGTATCTCTAAAACTTGAACTAACATTGAAAAAATAAGTTTCATTCCGGTTTTAGCACATTAAAAATAGTAATATTTTGTTGATTTTATTTAGGATATTTTTTGGCTGTTGATCAGTGATCAGTGAAATATCTGAAGCGGTCCTGAAAATATTAATTAATTTCCATTTTTTTCATAAAACTTCAACACCCCGAGTTTTTGTAACGAAACATTTTTGGACCATAGTTTATAAAGCAAACTAACATTAATTTTTCATATAATAATAAAAATAATATATTTATTTCCAACAGGTATAGATTCTCACCCTTAAATATTCGCATATCATTATATATGGATTATATATGGATTTATTAATATTATCTTTTATATGTATACAGATAGATGCAATTTTCTAAATCTATCTAAAATCATACCTAGAAAAATATTTTAGTAATGAAATTGGAATAATCCATAAAAATGGTATCTTTTTCGAAGAATCCTGGATTTTTGATCCAAAAAAAATAATTTTTCATCAACATATGACTTTTATATCTACCATCCTGAGCGTTTATGCATATCTGAGATAAGTATTGTAAAACACTATATTTACCAGGTGGGGCGAGGATGCTTATCAAATCTCAGAACAATTTGTTATGCTCTCTGCTGAGGACATAATTAAAATGTGCGTCTGTATAAACATTACCTCTCTTCCGTGAACGACTGCAACTCATTATAAATATACTTGGTGTTACTATTAGCCTCATGCAAATCCTCGTGGCCAGGCTTGTCTGTGATTGCCCTGTGAGAGGGAGCGCCGATTTCCAGCCAGGCACCTTTGTATTGGACTATGTTTGGATGGTTCATGCTTGCAAATGTCTTCACTTCCGATAAGTAGGTCCTCACTGACTGGATCCCCTCGGATCGTATGGGGATCTTTTTGATCGCATATTCTGTCCCATCTAGCTTGTGTTTTACTCGATAAACCTGAAATCACAAGAATTTTGGTTAAACAATCATAAACACGTATATGAAAGTTATAAAAGGAGCACGATATTCCTCTATGTCTAAAATGAATTTGTGTTTATTGGTTATTAAGTTATGAAACGGAGATGAATCATAAACAAGTGTTTTCTATTTTTTCAGTACGCCAAGAGTTTTTCAGGGATTTGATACTGTCAAATACATTTGATTCATGAATGACTGCACATAATACGAATATACAATAAATGTATTTACAAATTTATTTCATTCCACCACGCAGCAAATAAATATAATATCATCAGACGTGATCTCAAAATCATAAAAAAAAAACAGAAAACATGTAATGTTCCCATCGGAGAGCGTATTGAAACTAGCGTTTCATCTCACCAAAACCAGTAGCTAAGATTATGCGATTAGAGAAATAGAGCCAAGTATATTGTATGAATCTGGGACTCAAAGCTTCGTATGTATAATATCCAAATTCTATTATTTACCTGTCGATGTTACAAAAAATTCAGGAATTGTCAATAAAACTTAAAACTAGGGCCAAAAGAACAGTAAAACAAGGTGACAAGAAAAATAAATTTTACATACTTAATACATTAGAAATGCCTAAAATTTGAAAATGTTTTATCCTAAGTAATTTGGTGAGATTTGGCTGGATTTATAGTAGAAAATAGGTACATGTAATTGTGTTTTTATTGTAGTATTGTGCGTGTGAAAATCACTGTTTATGAAAAAGTGTGCTTGTTCAAAAATATATGAGGCTATTTCTAGTATACTTTTATATATATATACTATTTCTTAATTATATGCGAACGGTTTTTATTTTTTACTCAAAAACGGCGCATCGAAGGAAATCAATTCATTTGTTTTAAATTGAACGGGGAATTCAAAAATAATTTTTATTTGGCAAAAAACCATTGGCGTACCAATTTTCTCTTAAAAAATATCGAAGTCAATACCCGTACGCACGCCACTGTCAAAGCTAAAAAATATTTTTGCATTGAAAAATATGCAACTTTATTAACTTTCACTACGTACTAAATATCAGTGAAATATCTGAAGCGGTTCTGAAAATATTAATTAATTTCGATTTTTTCATGAAACTTCAACACACCGAGTTTTTGTAAGGAAACATTTTTGGACCATAGTTTGTAAAGCAAGCTAACATTGATTTTTCATGTAGATTCTCACCCTTAAATATTCGCATATCACTAAGGAACACCCTGTATATGTACAAGTCAATGTGAGTACTCAGCTTTCTACTCGGGTGGTGGTTACATACATTTGCTAAATTTTCTATGATATTTTTTCAAGGTACAAACATTTCATTTGCCTAGGATGAGCTACCCCACAAGCAAGTGCCATAACAAAGTCTAAACTCAGTGAGCCCTTAATAGATAATCAATAAATCAGGACAGCTTGAAACAATTCTTAAATTTCTAAAAAGATATACTTAAGGGGATAATGATTTAAACAGTTTCTGTTTTCTCAGTGTTAAGAAAAATGTCGCGGGAGTACAAAAGGTTAACCAGTTTCATCAAGGACTGTATTCTTTTAGGTCACCATCCTCTTTCAATGAAATAAGCAAAGATATGTCATCCGCCTAAGTTGTATACTCAATTGTGGACAAAACATTTGCGATCTGATTGACATATAAGAGGAAAAGAAACGGTCCGACTATAGTATCCTGTGGCACACCCTTCAGAATTGACATAACTTCAGAGTTGAGGTTAGAATACACGCCGTCGGATTCAAAATTCATAGATTTCGATTCTCAACGAAAGAGGCTATCCATTTTCGAGCAACTCCTCTTACGCCATAATATTTTAAAATACTGAGTCATAAGTATCAGAGTATAAGTATATAACCGCTATTTTAATACTATGCAGTACCACTGGACCTAAAAATCTTGATTAATATCAGATATCTGGGCAGTACTTTCAGACTTATACAAGGGCCGGGGATGGCCGGTTAAACAATGTACATGACAACAGAGAACGCAAAAGTGGGTCGCAATTTTTTTCGCGGCATACATGTCAAGTAATACCAAAAAAATATAATTCCTCGATTTCTATTTTTTTAGATCACTCATGCTAGCAGTAATACCTGTATACTTTCTCGCCAAATGGCGAGAGTGATCATAAATCCGAACTGATGGAATACATTCCACGATACCCTCGTATGACTAATATTAGGAATGCACGCGACTATCATACCCGAGGAGTTTAGAATAAGCTATGTACATATTTGTTACCTCTAGCAGTGGAACTGTAGAATGTTCATATTTTACAACTAACTCATAACAAGTAAAACTGCAAATATAAAAATATGTTCAGTATTGTGAAACTGTGCAAAGTAGGAATTCACACTTTAACGTTCTCTGATAAATATCAAAACGCTTATCTACATTATAATACGCAGCAAATTCTATGAGCTACACAAAAAATTTTCAATTTTACGATCGATCATATTTGTTATGAATCAAAGCTGATTTTTTTTTTGTTCTGTTATTGGCACTGGTCGATGACCAACTGGCCAGATCCTTATGTTATGTTATGCTTTAATAGAAAATATAACATCCATAACTTAATATTACTATTGTATATTATTTCTATTATAGTGACATAGAGTATGCGAATACATATTTCTCTTTTTTTAAGTTTTTTTTTTAACCAATACTTTTTACATATTTTTTCCTTTTCTCTATTTTGTTTATAAGATTGTTTTTTTTTATTTTTTTTTATTTATGCATATCTACACATATATATATATATACATATATATATTACTTAATACTGATCTACTTTTTTTGTTTTTTTTTTTCAATATTTTTTTCTTTTTTCATTTTTAATTAAAAAATATAGTTTTTTTTCTTCCGATAACGGTTGCCAATATGTTATATACAGGGTGACTTTGAAGTTGAGTCATTAATTTTCAGATAATGATTGTAGAAGGAAGATAAACCAAAATATGTGTGTAAAAATAAAAAAAAATAAAAAAAAATGTTTACCTTGTTTTATAAAGTATCCTCCCGACAAGTATTTCAGTGCGGACCTGTATTTGATAGTGAGGTCCCCTGTGAGGTCTGAAGTCACCTGATTCACGAGCCCGTTGTACTACATTAACAAAGGCACGAGGGGTTGGTTTCACTCGATTGGGAAACCGTACCGCATAAACATGTGCCATTTTTTGTTTCGTTTGAGCCACGCAATAGACACTATTCACACGCGACTGACACTGACTGTATGTATAACTGAACTGAATGAAATAATTGTAAAAACATCGTTCCAAATTCTTTCGCTTTTTTGTTTCCGATGCGATGAACCGATAAGGTGGATTATATCCGTTGTTGCCAAACACGAGCACATGATATTATTATGTAGTAACTTTGTTACTTTAATTTTACCAGAAAAATGGTAAAGGAAAAAAACATTTATTTTGATCAGATCTACTCACTGTTAAAATAAATGACTCAACTTCGAAGTCACCCTGTATGTAACTTAATCTCACAGAAAATAATATTACAAACTTAGTTGGGTTCAAAGTGCTGTTAATACATACAGTTCCAAATGAGACGATCAAATTAAAGAGTAAATAAGATTGGTATAGGTAACAGAGTAATAAATATATTCGAGAAAGTCCTCGCAAAACCAGATCACATTGGAATATGAATACGAGGTTACACTAAAATTTAGCCCGTAGCCGCGTAACATGGCCGATGACACAATATTTCAATGACTCAGAATGATCTCAAATATACAGGGTCCGCCAGAAAGAACGCATGTTTTTCGAATGGGTACTACATCGAGTGGGCTGGTCCCGTGTCGGTGGGGAAGGCCGTCGTGGATAGTGGGTTAAGTGCCGTTTCAGTTGGCAAGATGGTTTGGAACGTGAGCATCGTGTGTTCACTGTAGGTCGGTACTTCTAAACTGGCGAGTCTGTCATTTGAACGCAACGTAAGTTTCGCGTTCACTTTCGTGTTCCACGTCGTGGGACAGTACCAGACCGTAAGACCATTTTGAGATGGGTGGAAGCATTCTACACAACGTAAATTTTGTTTTACTCAAAAAATGGCATGTATTTCTGAGAGTACTTCATGGTTTTTGGCGGTTAGGTCACAATGTTAGATGGGATAAGTAAACAGATTGCCTAACTGCACCGTGTGCAGAGCTTAACTTCCCTAAAGGGAAACTGCACACTGCACAAGCCACACTGGACCCAAATTCAAAAACTAAAAAGCTCTTTAGTCCTTTGAATAGTGGTAACCTTGTGTGAAAACTGCATGAGCGGTACATTTCAAGTTATAGGCGGCCAAGGATTAGTGGAAATACTGACAGATAAGGCGACAGAAATGAGAACATGGTTTTATGTGATGTACATGTCATAGAACATCCAAAAAAACATAATATGTCATTTTCGAAAATTTTCGCGTGGGAAGTAAAAAAAATATTTTTAGAACCTTAATTGTTATCTTAGTTATTTCAATTTTCATCATCTTATTAATTCTTATGGCATATAACATCCAAAATACTTATCTCATTTTCGAAATTTTTTGCGATTATAATACGTCCTCACCAGTGGCATGGGAAGTAAAATACTAAGGTTCGTGCAGCTTTAAGTAAAAAATGGTAATGTATGTTGGATGAAATATTTTAGGCCCTGTGTTTATAGCACTTTTCCCTTAAAAACACAAAAGGACTCGTTTTGTGAAATATTGGACACCTAATAAGAACCACCACAGGATTTGAAGTTATCATGCCAAGATACTTTGAGACAGAAAATGAAAAAAAAAACAGATTTACGCGTTAAACTACCGAAGATTTACAAGAAGATCATCAAAAGACTTACTATGCACACACACTATGTGGCAACTTGCACCATTAATTAACGTATTTTACCTGAAGATAGCCAACCTAATGCTATATTCCCGCGTCAAAAAATGATCTAATCGTTCTTTGTTTACTATATATACTTTGAAATAGTATCATAGATGTCACTGCAGTGAACATGTATGCTTATACAGCGCCATATATGAGACACTAACTTTTTAAAGTAATATAATAAATTGAAAAAACACCAGTGACAAATTCTCATAGATGCTGGCTACATTATCTCATTTTATCTCGGATATTTCTTTGCACGCAGAAATATAGCATTAGGTTAGCTATCATCAAGTAGAATACGTTATTCAATGCTTGCACCCAAGGCCGAAACTACACAGAGGGGCCTCAAAACACGGTCATCGGGTCCCCAGAGCAGAAAATTAATCTTGATTGTCATGATTTTTCTGCAATGATTAGTAAGTACTCTGTAGCTATCTCACTATAATCAATACCTTATATCTAGGTGATGAATCCTGATAAAATGTTTTATCTAGACAACAATGCACTTGATTTTCCATTTGATTATATGCAAATCTGTCTTTAGTGCTGAAATCATACCTTACTTAAATAAAATTCTGCTAAAATGACTTCAAGACAAAATATACCTACAGCATATTGAAATTCAAAAATAGAATTTAAATGATTACGTTTTTTAGATAATAAAGGACATTTACATCACAAAAGACCAAATCAAGTCAGATCATCATTGCTTGTTGAAGCAGCCTGTAGAACCAGTTTGTCCTCTTTGCTCTTCTCCCTCCCTTTCTTTCTTTTTTCCTGACTGATTCATATCTGGGCAACAAGAGCTACTGACCTACAATACTTTAATCAAGAGCAAAGGTCCCACGGACCGCTCTGACGGACAACGACGAATAGAGAGACCCAGTAAACCAGAAAATGTTAGTGAAAAAGGAGGAAGGGAGAGAGTAAATAGGAAGAGAATGTTTTAGGTCAAGAAACAATAGGATATTGTGATAAAAGTTTTGTTAGATGTTCTAAATTCATCCATTAGTTTTGTTGCCAGTGCAAGCCATGGCGAGTGTATCACTCTCAAACCAAAAACCACTGGAAAGCAGCTCTGATACTCAATGATCAAGGTCAGATCATGAATCTGTCACATTTATATAAAAATATGCAATTTGAAGTGTGTCAGGTGAGGATGATGCAATTTTCAGAGACAACTAAAAACGTGTTTTTTTAATGTGTATTATACAAATTTTTTGTGTCTATTTTCATGAAAATATGTTATAATGTGTATTTAGCAATACAAAAAGTATTTGTATATTGTTGTACCAGTTACATATACAGAGATTTATTCATATTTGCCCTTGGAAGAGCAGCATGCCAGGGGAGTGTATACATTTCCTTCAAATATCTAGATTTTCAAATTTTAAGGTCTATTATTTGCAAATGGCTACATAATTATAAATAAGTGCAAAAGTGCAAAAATATTTTCTTTATTCAAATGAATCAGAAAAGGTGTTAGCATCTTACCTGACCAAACCCTCCACCTGCAATGAATTCCACCTCATCAAACTCCCTTCTGTAATGCGAATTCACTTCTGAATTCAGCCACTTTGGTTTGACAGGTACATTGTTATCTTTACTACCATTCTTCGTTGAAGATATAAGATGTAATAGGGCTCTCTGGTACTGGCTGCGTATACCCTCGAATTCAGTCATAGAATAGCTTTCGCTTAATAAGTTCATACTGTACAATTTATCACATATGCGATTATACATGAGTGATGCTTTGTTAGGATCTGCCTCGTAAATGGAACAGATGTTTTTCACCAGAGACTCGATGAGTATACTCACTGGTATTGAGATACTGGGCTTTGCATTTGTGTTGTTTGAGACTACACATACTGGCTGTGATAATGAGCTAGTTGTATTCGATAATCTCGATATCTGCTCGACGCTGAGTAGCTCCGATAACTTTTCTGCATCTTCAAGTGATGTTCCATCAGATGCACATTCGGACATAACGATGTTAGAGTTTCCTCTGAGGGTGGCCCTATGATACGGAACTTCACCATTAGCTTTTCTGACCATTGACTAGCTTTGTTAACGGAAAATATGCTGCGACTATTGTATAAAATGAAGAAGCTAACAAGTTTAAACAGGATCACACAATAATAAATCACAAAACTAAACCCTTTCGGGCCTTTTCTGCTTTTCCAACGTTGACACTGATTGCTTTTCAATATTTTCCACAGCTGACAAGTCAACACACGTTGACAGAAATGACATAATATGGAACTGTCGACATTGCCGATGTTACGGTAATAATCCTAATACATGGTTTTATAGGAATCATGGGTCAGGCAAAGTGGTTTTCACACATGGCGTATTTTCTATATCAACATCGACTGAGGTGCGGATTTAGAGGAGGATGTGCTTTCCCTCAGACGCCCAAGTTTACCATTTTTCCAAGAAAATGGTATAATATATTGTTGTATCTTGGTGTAAAAATGACCTTGCTAGACCTGAATCGTAAGACAAAAGCTCCCCCTCAACCCACATGAATATTACGTACCTAATGTCAGGTCGATTTTTTGACATAACGTAGGTTTTTCTACAACATGTTAACTCAGCACTAGCTGATGGACACGTTGTGAACTCGTTTTGTAGTTAGTTGTACGTGTTGCCTAAACGTCATGATGCTTCAGTTATCAAGGTTTGGCTCTCATGAGATGTAAGATTTGCTTCAGAGATGGAATTATTGGAGGTCTAAGCTGTAAATTGTATCCTACAGCTGGAAGGAAATGGCGGTGCATCGGTGCACAGTGAGGATCTGTGGGCTAATAATATGTGTTGATAATAATTCCATTGGTTTCTTGTACACTTACTTGAGATTGAAAGCTAGAAATTAGTTGCACATTTGCTTTTTTTTATTCAACCTGGAAATTACTTATACAAATTTGCTGAATTTAAAAAAAGAGAGCGATAGGAAAAGAAAATCCCTGGTTGGATGAGTATATTAAAACAGGTGAAAAAATATGGTACATATAGGCATATTCATGAAACGCAAAAAAGTTCAAACTTCATGAAACTTTGTTTTACGATGTCAAGCAGAAAATACAAATCAGCGTATAGATGTGAGCCAGTGCGAAAACGCTTTGTATGTGATGGGTCATTCCTAACTTTTCTGTGATATGGCTTAATTACACACAACGCGGGTGCGGTGCTATTTCCCGTAATGCTTCTCAATATTATTGAAAACGCAAAAAACGGAGAAAATTGTAATGTATGACTTTGAACATAACCTCTCTTCAGAAGGGACAACACAAGTAACCCGTCTGGCACAACTAATAGATATATTTCAATGGGCACCTATTCAATAATAATTTTCTTACATAGCAAATATCACTGATTTTATGCACATGCAGACCAATTCCGTCAATCTACAGACTATTTCGGCATTCTGCAACCAACAAAGCTGATGAGAAACTGACTTGCAGCTTGCAGCATGGTCATTGAGCTTGTCGTGTCGTTGAGTCATTCCTCCATAGATCGACTCTTTTGAAGACGCTCATAGCGAGCAAACGTGGAATTAAATTATTTACATACTAGGTATCATCTAGGCAGCAAGTTGACATTTTTTGACATTTTATAGTATTTGTACGTAATAAAACCCTACTGGTCTCCAATTCTCACAAGGGGATTTGCTCATCCTAAAGTGCTTAAGCAGCCGCATCCTTCCCCTCCACTATTCAATTTTTAATTGTCGTTATCCCCCACCCCTTTGAAATTCGCCTTCAAAAATCTTGTTTCAATACTGCACCTATCTACACCCTATTTCATGAATATCCATCATGATAGAACAGCTGATTATCTAGTAATATCTCAAAATTCCCCATAACAACACAGGACACATAATTCTGACGGATCTGTGAGGGCCAGCTAGACAGAGCCGAATTTTGTTTTTTTTATGCTACAGATTCATTTTGTTCTTGCTAATAGCTCTTTTATTTAGAGAATTTCATTTGCATACAAAAAACAGAACACCACAAATAAGTTTTACTAGATTTATACCCGATCCATTATTGCCAACAATGCAGACTAACACAAAAATGTCACTTGTTCATCAGCTGTACACCTCAGTACTTGTCAAAGCATGATGGATACTTGTGGAATAGAGTATATTCATACCGCAGGCTATCCCCAAAAAGTACTACGAAACCCTAAAACTTGAGATTGGGTGATCTGAAAATTCATATCCTGGGGTTATTCGTTTCGCTGATGATTAGGCAATTTATCGTATTTTCAAACTGACGTACCAAAATGTACTGAGTTCAGGATCAAAAATGGTGAAACTATAATGGATCCAGACTGTTTGTTGTGGCATTATCTTGTGTTCCATAAGTGTCCGAGCGAGGTATTGCCATAATATTTTAGGATCAAAAGTATATCCATTGTAAGATCTGTTGCATACACTGAAAACCCAATACCACTGACTGAGAACCGTGCAATACGAGCGTTAGAAAGAGATAGAAGCGCCTCGTCGCCTAGCAGCCCGAATACGAGGTTACGGATGCCACCGCCGCACTCTTTCTAGGATACATATTTTACGCCTCTTGCGCTTCTCTCTCGTACACATTACGACGTCAGCCACATTTAAACATATTTTTCGTGTCCTGCTTTAGAAATTAAAATGTAGATAGGCATTGGGGGGTCAGGATAGCCGAGTGGTTAACGCGTCGGGCTACCAATCGTTCCACCCGAGGTTCCCGGTTTCGATCTCCGCGTCGGAAGTTCATTCTGAGCCATTGATGTGTTTATATTTATAGATCGGTGCAAGATCACTTCATAGGTACATGATATATCGCATGGTTTGTGGACTGGTATAGTACTGGTACCACACGGGGCTGGCAAAAAGGGTCAAAGATAGCCTATAGGCCAGGCTTCGCCTCCCTCTACTAATACACTACTTCATGATGTAGGTATTTGCACTTAACAAGGTACCGAAAGCTTGAAGTGTGCATATGTCTTTCTCTCTCTACCTTTCTCGATCTTGGTTGTGCTGTGATTATTCGTCAGCCACAGCATGCATAAAATACCTCATTCCCTGGACTATAACAAACTTCGTTACCAGATATCAAATCCTTTCCAAAAATACTGTGCCGGCAACATAGCTCAAAAGAAAATAGTAACTTTTTCAGGGATATTCAAAATAACTTTTAGTAACTTTTCTGAAGATATTTTCTAGAGGTTATATTGTTGACATCCAGAGACGTCAAAACATTCAAGCTGTCAGGCTAAAAGAAAAAAGTTTTTCAATAAAAAACGCGATGTAAATTACACGGAAGAAATGTTCAAACGCGAATTTGTAGTGATTTAGGCAGAATTTATGACGATAACACAATGCGATTCGCTCAACAATATGTTCCAATAGTATTTTGCTCACACTGACAATATGCGACCTCAGTTAATCAATTACTCGCTAACTGAAATCGTGATATGTTTCATCGTGGTCGGATATGCCGCTGTAGACTTAGTGCCGTGCGACAGAAGCAGAAGGATCTTCCATTCATCCTGGGGCATCATCAGTGATGGACCAGTGGGATCAAATTACACCCAAGACAGCCACTGTGAATGGCTTATCAAAGCTAATGATAGCAAAAAATTTATCACCTTGAGCTTTCGCAGTATGGGCACCGAATGCTCATACGACTATGTTTTTGTTTATGATGGAGATTCTTTTAATGCTCCTTTACTTGGTAGCTTTAGTGGCAAGACTGAACCACAACAGGTTGTTGCCACCTCAGGATATATGTTAGTGCTGTTGTACAGTGACACAAATTACGTACTAGATGGTTTTAGAGCAGAGTTTTCTATTACAGACTGCCCAAATAATTGTTCTAATCATGGTATGTGTTTTCACCATCAGTGCATGTGTGAGGGTGACTGGGGAGGGTATGATTGCTCAAGGAGGCTGTGTCCAGACAACTGTGGAAGACTGCAAGGGAGAGGTTACTGTGAACAAGGTAGATGTGTCTGCAGATCAGGATATTCTGGCCATGCCTGTAGTTTATTTGAACATGATTCTGTTGGCAATAAATGGCATTGGCTCTCACATTCTGAAGGAGGATTAAAACCTAGAGCTGCACATTCCGCTGTATATATAGAACTGACTGACTCTCTATATGTTTTTGGAGGATATAATCTGAACAATGTTCTTGCCAATTTAGAAATTTACAATTTTCGGACAAGCAGTTGGAGAGACGAAAATGGAGAAATATTGCCAGATAAAGGTCTTGTAAGCTCCATAGAACCTGGTGATGTTGCTAAATTGATAGAAAAGGCTGGGCCTGATTGGAAACAAAAATGGGGCATCACAGAAAGAGGCTCTTTCCTCAAGCAATTATTGTATACTGTAAGTGAAAATACTCAAAACAGGCGGCACCAGAGACATTCCAGAGTAACAGATGATCACAAACCTGCATCACGCTATGGTCATGCAGCATGTGCACTCAAAGATGGTTTTCTTCTATATGGTGGCAAGTTGCATAATGGTAGCCTGGCAAATGATCTATGGTATTATAATGTCACATCTGGCATTTGGCAGCTGAGGGCACAGCTGTCAGAATTCCGTCCGCCCAGACTGACCAGACATACTCTCACATGTGCCAATGAGATTATTTATTTATTTGGAGGTAAACCTGATATAATTATTATTTTGAAGAAATGGTGTTATCATCATTTATTTTTTTATATTCCAAAAATAAAAATGCTCTCCAAAATAGTGTGTTTTATAAGTTGATAATATTTTGACTTCATCCTAAGGTGAGATTCTCAAAATTTTGTGTTTCATTGTAGAATTACATTGTTTAAAGTAATTAAAATTTCAACGAACATATGTATATTCAATCAAACAAAGCCTTCAGCAAACCATTCAACCCTTTAATGATCAGGAGAAACAAATATATCTACGTTTGTGAGTTCAAGATTTTACTATAAGTAGACACTTCAATTAGAAGCACATCTCGAGATAATTTGAATTATCTGCATATAAATGATTATATATATATATATATATATATATATATTACATATTCTTTTCACAAGTTTTTGGTGGTTATGTTCCATATGAAACTGTAAACAGATCCACAGGCTGCATCATGGGTGTAGGTAATTTTTCCTCACTAGGGGAAAATGAACACTGCTCAACTACCCTCACATTGGGATATTGATAGTTGATTCATATACATACAACAATCCTATAAAAAATCTC